TCCACGAGACAAGAAAGCCATTGATGCAGGCCTTTTTATGCAAGTTGATTAATAAACTTCTCAATGGATTATACTAACATCAACTGCTTTCTCTAGAATAATGTACAACAGGAGGTTGAAAACTTCTCAGCGGACAGCTGACAGCAGAATTTATCATTGGAAGGGAGTTGGCTCTAGCAGCCAGAATGTGTCCTGGGGAAGAAGGTGAGGGAGCTAGAGGGCTTGGGTGTTGACTGGTTCTACAAAGGCCCAGAAGGAAATGGAAAACTGTTCCAGTGAGGCATTTTTGTGCTGTGGTATAAGGGTATGAGAGGAAGGGGGAAGATGAGGGAGAGGCAGGGGGACTCGGTGTGAGGTAGAAGAAATACAGAGCATTAGGTAGCCCTTGAAGCATCCCACATGGCTGGAGGGGCTGGAAGGGCTTCCAAGTACACGGAGGTCTTGTTGAACTTGACGTTCTTTGTGATGTAAACTCTTCTTTGGACTACCTCTAAGTCTCCAATGCAATCTAATAAACACAAAATCCACCCACTGTGAGTGGATGCTTTTCGTGGAATTTGAGGGAGGAGCTGCATTTTGGGTTTGGGTCTGTGCAGTTGTGGGCTAGAGATGACATCTGTGGATTGGTAAGGAGGCAGCAGACTGAAGAAGAGATGGGAGCCAGAAGGGGGTGGAAGAATTTAAAGGCACACTTTCTCTCCACCTCCATTTTGTTGGAAATGTTTGGAAATCCTAGAAAGGGTTTACAGATTTGTGTAATACCATCTTGTTACCTGCATCAGGACTTGTGAGTCTCTCCTGGTGGGGGAGGGTTGGGCATCTCCCTCAGGCTGTTTTGTGTGCCTGAGGGCTGAGCTGGGATCCTTTCCTGCTCCAGGGGCACCCTCCACTTTTCCCCGTTCTGCTCTCTGTCCTGGGAGGCTGGCAGTGTGGACTTGGCTTCTGGTTGATTCTGGCTCATGGGAAGCCCCATGCAGAGCCTCTGTAGGAGGTTAGAAACAGGGAGGAGAATGAAGGCAGGGTTCCTGTTCCCTGCCTTCCTCCCTGTGAGGTTACTTTGGGTTAAATGTGGCCTTGTCTGAAGATCACTGGTTTCTCTTAAGGGGACTGTCTTTCTTTTCAGGTTTTAATAACCTGTCACTTCCTTCCTACCTGAGCACTGGGTAAGGTGATCAATCTTCCTGGTTTGTAGAAACTGAGGGTATTCCCAGGACATGGGGTTTTGAGTTCTCAAACCAACACAATCCTGGGCAAATGGGGATGAGTTGGTCATTCCAGCCCTAGGAATGGTTAACAGCTCCTTTGCTGGTTCTAGATTGAGGTTACTGAGCTATCTCTGTGGTTCCCATCCCACCCATCCTTACCTTTGTAAGTAACCCTTTTGTAAAACAAACACACCATCCTGGAATTATCTCGTTCAAGCATGTTGTCTCTTTCCTGTTGGGTCCTGGAGTGGCACACTGGTTGTCCATGAACACTCGTGACCATGTTCTCTCACAGCCGTGGTTTCCTCAACTGCCAAATGAGAGAGTGACACTAGAACATTCCCCTACACCTTTCCAGCTCCAACATCACAAAGAGATTGAAAAGAACATCATGATTTTTATCTCTTAAAATTGTGTAACTGTCTCTTTTATTCCTGTTGTCATCTTCCAGTAATTCTAGGTAAATAATTCTTTAAAAAAATTTTTTTAATGTTTATTGGTATTAGAGAGAGAGAGCGAGAGAGCGAGCATGAGTCAGGGAGTGATAAGGAGAGACAGAAACAGAATCTGAAGCAGGCTCTAGGCTCTGAGTTGTCAGCACAGAGCCTGACGCAGGGCTTGAACTCATCAGTCGTGAGATCATGACCTGAGCCTAAGTTGGATGCTTAACTGACTGACCCACCCAGGCACTCCTCCGTCTAAGGAATTCTTAAGGACTTCCTATTGCCTCAGCTCTGCCTGGGGAAACTGAGATGCATGGCACATAGTTCTGGCCCTGGATGGGGTCATGTCTGGTTTAGGGGGAGGGAAGGAGAGAGAGGCCAGAGAGCAGATTGTTTCAGCACAGAGTGCTATGTGCTAAATGAGATTTATATGTGGTGTCCAAGAAGCCCAAAGAGGGGTATCCAACCAAGTCTAGAGGGAGTCTGGAAGACTTTCTGGAGGAAGGCACAGCTGAAGTGAATTTTAAATGATGTGTAGGGGCCGAGCAAAGGGGAGAAAGGAAAGGAAAAAGGGCAGGTAGAACATTCTTTGCAGAGGAATGGCATGAGCAGAGGCCTGGAGGAGGGCAAAGACATGAGCTATGGGGTGAATATGGGGGGACTTCCGCAGGGTGACATTAGCTGTTTGGTTTTGGTGGAGCCTAAGATGTGAGGCAAGAGATGACCCTGGAGAAGGAGGCAAGGCTGCATTAGATGGGGTCTGGTGGAGTGCTTAAGGAGGGGCCTTTTTATCTTATAGAGGACAGAAAGCCACTGAATAATGGGTTGTTTTGCCATTGAGCAGGGCGACCGACTATTTAAATATCCAGTTTCTGAAAATAGAACATAAAGAGTAGCTCTGGACCACCAACAAAAAATAACTTGCGTTTAGCAAACTTCCTGAAGTGTTCATATATAATGGAACTTTAGATCTTTAGTGTTTTTCACTGTATGAAATAATGAAATGATGCTGCTGTTAGGGAAATGTATGAAACTCCACCCCAAAGCCCTTCTCTGAAGGAAAAACAGCAGACACTAACTGGCCTGATAAATTTACCTTGCCTGTCTTCATTCATTTACTTCAACATTCATTTTGTTTCAGCTAAATTTTGAAGTTTTGAGGATAAAAACTATGTTTTAATATGGCGTCACCAGCAATTAAGGCATTGTTTGGCACGTTTGGCTCAGTAAATGTCTGGCCCACAGAAAACAAACAAATAAACAAACAAACAACCACTTCACTGAGTGCCCACCAAGCAGTGGGTGCTAGCTGCACTAAAGCCAAGAAACACAGAATTCCAATCCCCAATACATTGAAGGTCGCAAGTGGACCTTGAATTAAACAAACTGTAAAGGACATTTGGATTCATTTAGAGAAATTAGAATATGGAGTGAGCATCAGATGAAAAGAGAGATTATTATTTAGTTAGGTATAGTAACAGTGTTGTGGTTGTGTGACAAAATATCTATTTAAAACATGTAACATTGGGGCACCTGGGTGGCTCAGTCCGTTGAGCATCTGACTTCAGCTCAGGTCAAGATCTTGCGGCGGGGGTCCTGAGGGCTGACAGCTCAGAGCCTGGAGTCTGCTTCAGATTCTGTCTCCCTCTCTCTCTCTCTGCCCCTTCCCCACATGTGCTCTTGTCTCTCTTTCTCTCTCTCTCAAAAATACGTAAACATTAAAAAAAAAATTCTTAATGTGATGTTAAAATTGGAAGTAGTTGTGGTTGAAATAATATCTAGGCATTTACATTAAAATATTATCTCTGTGCCATAAAAAGTTTGTTTAAAAACAAAAAAAATACTATCAAAACAATGAAGAAAGAAGAAAGAAGGGAATAAAAGGAAGGAAAGGAAGGAAGGAAAGGGGCAGAGGAGGAAGTTAGCTAGTTTCAGTCGGGAAAAACTTCCAGATTAGAAAACACAACATTCCCAAGGTTACACACACAGGAGTAAATGTGCTTTGTGCTGAGCATGAAATAAAAGCATAATCATAGTTTGAGTAGAAACCAGGAAGAAGGAACCGGGAGGAGTAAATTTTGAGTGAGGTTTCTTAGGCTCCTGACAAGAGCCCATCTCCAACTAAAGTCATGATTTCTTTCCTATTCTCTACATTAGCAGAACAATGTTTCTCATTTCATCTCCAAGTCTAGTATCATTTCCAAGAAATACAATGGGGTAAAACCTACCTTGTGACAACTTGGCTACGATGCATGCCAATGATCTGGATCGTTGCCTGTAAATGATGCTCATTAGAGGCTAATTGTGTGGCCTTGGTTACTGATGATAACAGTATTTTTTCTTTCACTAATTCATTAAAATCTTACCAAGTGTTTACCATGTCGTGAGTGATGCAGTGGCATGGAAGCAGAAGACAGGGCAAAGTTCTGACTTTCATGATGCTTACATGCTAGCGGACTTTTGGGGAACAGATATGTGATTGTCCTTCTTGGCTCTGATCTTGGCAACAACCTGATAAGATTAGTCACTGTTTCAAACAACCTTCCCTTTAAACTGGAGGCTCAGGCTGTTCCATGACTGGCCCTGGTTATGTTGCTCATAAATGGCAGCCGTACTATCCAAACGTGGATCTCTCCTGGAGTCCAGCTCACCCCCCAGCACACCACAGTCTGCTTTTTCTGGTGTTGCTTCTGTCAATCCGAAGCAAGTGCAGGTATGATGTGCGTACTGTGCCTAATGATGAATGTCAGCACTGAGGTGAGCAGTGATGGCTCTTTGGCCATAAGCAAGTGTTCTACTTGGAGCTAATCTGGGGTGCAGATCTGAGGGTGGCTCTGTTAAGTACAAGCACACTGTGACACGTCAGGGGAGATTCTCTGCTGCCAGCTAATTATCACTTAAATTTGTCAAGAAGGCAAAAAGCACCTCTCACATTTTATTTTAAAATATGAAAACCTTTGGAAAAGTTTGAGGGTGATTTGCTCCTCTTCCCTCTTCACAGACAAGCCCCCCCCCAGAGGGGGGGGGTGGGTGCCCCCCCCCCCCCCAGGGGGGCGCGGGGGCACTCCAAGGGGTGGCAATCCCTGGACAGTGATTTCACACCGTATAAGATGCAAACGGCACAGACCAGCGCGGGGGGAAGGAAACAGAGAGGATGGAAATGAAAGATGGATCTCAAAGCAATTAACTAGAGACGATTTGTACCCAGAAGGGTTGCCGATGCAGAGAGAATGAAGCCAGACTCTAAAGGCCACATAATGTATGATTCCATTTATATGAAATATCCAGAACAGACAAATCCCTAGAGATAGATACAAAACAGATTACTGGTTGCCAGGGGCTGGGAAGGCAGGGAGGGAGGATAGAGAGTGACTGCTTAATGGGTACAGATTGCCTTTTAGGGTAATGAAAATGTTCTGGAACTAGGCAGTGGTGGTATCACATAGCATTGTGAATGTACTAAATGTCGCCAATGCTAATTTTTATGTTAGGTGTATTTTACCACAGTAAAAAAAAATATATATATGCACACATGCACACACACACTTAAAAAAGTAATCTTTCTGGTTTGTTAATAGCAACTGCAACCTCTAAGGTCCTTTGGCAACGTACCTGATGAGTGGTCATGCAGATTGTACCAGAATATCCTCACTGAGAAGAAAGTTGCTCAAAAGTAAGTGTTTCATTTTTAGGAAGCTCTAATTGTTACAAAACTCACTGTGAAAGTGGATTAAAATCTATATTCTGGAGAGAAAGAGAGAGAGAGAGAGAGAGAGAAAGGGAGGCTTGCTGAGTGATCAGGATGAGAGGGTATCTGGTATCTCAGATATTCCCCACATTTGTATTTGTGCCTTAAGAGAGAGGGCAATTCTAGTCAAGGGTCTTGCAAGGACGGCTATATAAAGATATGCTCCACTCTAAAGTGGGGTCACTGCATTTTCCTGAGCATGTGAGACTAAAGGGCTTGTGTGGAATGCAGGAGTTATGGCTGGGATTATTCTAGAATTTTGAATAATAAATTATTCAAAATCTAGCCTTATTGAGCACTGCAATAGAGGGCAGGGAATCTAGAAAATTTTTCAGAATTTTCTATTTGAGGAAATACACTACTATGCTCATTTTAAAATGAGAGAATCTTGGGTGGGATGCATGAAAAAAAAAGCACATTATCAGAAATGTTCTGTGTTTTATAAATAGATATACAATCAGTTTTTTAAAAATGGATCCTCCAAGGGCTTTGATTTATAGGAATATTATGCGTCCACTTTTCCAAAAACATGTCTATTGTGTAAATCAAGTACACGTGTGCATCTCCCTTAATTTACATACTATAACCTAAACAGTACATATACATGCATAGTTAAATATTAGGAGAGATGAATAGTTTAGAAATTCTTTTGCATTCTGGTTTAATTAATCGTGAGAAAGATAAACAAAAACAAGCCAGTGGTTCCCTTGAGCAGGGCTCATGGAGTTCTGGTGGAAAAGGCAGTAACAGCTGATTCTGACTTGATTCACCCTGGACTCCGTTCGCGTCCCTCATCTTTATGCCCCAGCTCCCTTTTGTGCTTCTCACAGCTCATCTGGAGTGCCATGAGTAATTAGGGCTCCCTTCTACCTGGCTCTTGAAGAGCTTTGTGGTGCCACAAAGAAAAATGTGAATTTCATCCCTGGGAGCTAGCAATGTTTTGTGTTTTCAAAGCTCTGCTTTTAGACGGTTCCCAGCAAAGGAACATACTTACCTTTTTATCATCATTGTAGCGGAAAAATACTAGCCTGAGGATGTGGGCTGCTAAAAGCTGCCGGAGCCTGCCTACCTTTAGTATTTAGTGACGATGTTAGAAGCTTTCTGCAACCCATACTCGGGTCTGACTCAATGTGGGGAGAAGCCAGAAATACCAGAGCAATTCAGGAAAAACAGGAGAGCGGCAAGGGATAAGCCCAGAGGAAAGGAACCTTTGTTTTAGACCTCGGGAGGAGACATAACCAGGTTACATCACAAAGGGCGTGAAAACCATGTATCTCTCCCAGAAAGTGGTGAGAGCCGTGTATAGAAAGACCCACGCAAATCTCCTATTCATTGGAGCTTTGAGGCCTATGATTTTCTCTAAGCATGGGAGGGGCAGGTAGTTTGAGATGAAGGAGAGGCCCAGAACACACTGTCAGGGTGCAAACTTTGCTTCTCCCTCCCTCCCCTTCCTGTGGATTTATTAGGCAGGCGGGCAAATCGGTGTGCAAAGAATAGATTTGCTGGAATAACAGCTGGGTAAATGGCACATTATGCAATTTTGCAGGCGCACACTGATTTGCAGTTGCACAGAAATGATACGAGGCAAAGGGCTGTGCCGTGCCAGCTTTGGGCTGAGCATCCCCCTTGCCACTTTGTCCGGAGAAGGGTTTTTATCTGCAGTCTGTCCTGCAGCCTGCAGTTCTGTGCTGCACCATCCCTAGCACGGGGGTGGTGTTTACTCACCCGCGTGAAGAGGACGTTTTAACTCTCCATCTTCCCCTCCAGCGTGCAGTATTGATTTTCTGCTGCGAGGAGACAGAAAGACCTTTCTTCAAAGTACCTTTGGAGGCAGAGCTGGCTGTGGGCTGAGCTTTGTGAGCAGGGGCCTGCATTCAGGGAAGGCAGAATCTCGTTCTTAGGCGCAAATTGTGTTTGGGGATTTACTAGTCACAACAAGTTCTTGTTTCACTGTTAGTTGTTTAAGAAAAACCCAACAGACGGAAGCTGCTCCATTGCTAGATTCGTCTAAACAAGTCGGGATGAGTAGCCTGGCTAATTAATACCTGCATCTATTGTGCAGTTTGAGATGACATATTTTGCAGATGGTGCCAGTTCAACAACGGAGAAACAATTGTTCTGAAAAACTGAGCATGAGGAATATTTCCATGGGATTGCACCTTGACTGTGCAAATGTTCTTTTAAAATGTGATTTGCAAAAGTAAGGGGTATCTGAAAATTCTCCAGTCTGCAATTGTTTGTTACGGCAGTTTATAGAAACTCTGATCCTACCTTGGAGGTGTGAAATACTTACCAGTATCGTCTCGTAAAGGAAAAAAAAAGTTCACACAGCTATCCCTTGCCCTAAAAGTTCCCAGTATATAGGATGCCAAATTTGTAGCCTTGATAAAGTGAAGAGTTAGTCTTTTATTCCTTTGAAATTAAGTGCTCAAGTCCAATGGCTACCCGTTGCTTAACAGATTAAGTATAGAGCCCCTTGCCTGGGTTTCAAAGGGCCTTGAACCACACACACACACAACATCTACATGCCAAGTGTGAGATTGCAATGTGTTTTTATTAAATATCAATACCATAAAATACAGTAGGAGAAATTCCTGAGGTCTGATTGAGAGGAAAAGACAGAATGCATGGACCACCGGAGAACTGATTCTTCAATTCACTGATCCATTTGAGATATGTTTCCCAAGAAGTAACTGATAGAGGTGCAGGGTGAGTGTACTCAAATGATTTTTAAAACAAAAACAAATGCCATGAATGAGTTATTGGTAGCTAGAGGTGAAAACACTAGTTTACTTTGGTGTATACCCTCTCTGATTTGAAAAGGGCCAACTTTGTGGTGGCTTTTAGTTATGCAGATGTAAGGCAAATTTGGGTAGGAACCAAGGAGGGCTCTTGGAAGAAGGGAATAGATAATACCTTTCATTTGAGGTTTGATCCTCCATAACATGTCAGATGGATCCAAGTGACCATGATTGAGGGCAGCTGTTTATAATTGAAGTCCTCAAGGAAACTCGTTTTAAGGAGGAGGGAAGTCCAGAGTGGTGGCCAAGGCCAACATCATCACCAGAAATGGACACAGAGCATCAGGGTATGGCTGATGCTAGAACAGCTCCTGGCCAAGGAGGAGTGTGTGTGTGTGTGTGTGTGTGTGTGTGTGTGTGTGTGTGTGTGTG